TTTTTCATAATTAACTTGTATCATATTATAGGACCTTTGGTTTTTAAGGATTAAGGCTGATGATGGACACATGACTGTCCGAAAAATGTTTCCCTAAATAATCTTTCAATTATTAAACGTGGTGGAGATGATTTTGTGTTTTCTAACCCTTTCATCACTACACTTCACTCAGAGAAAATTATGGACTTCTACATAATATTAGAACAAAATATATTCACGGTGTACATAAGATACCTCTGTATAGTTTGGTGCGTTCCTCCCGACTCACCCTGTATAAACAGTGACTGTTTGCTTCCGATTACAAGCGAACTATAAAGTCTATGGAAATAATGTAAATCAATAACATTGCACGAAACAATTCAAAAAATCGAATTTATATCTGTATAAATGTATAAGAAGTATTGGATGGAGCGTTAAAAAAGTATTGTGCTTTTTTTGACGGTTTATCGATTTTTCAAAAATCATTCTCGAACTATACAATACATCGAGAAGCAAAAAAGCACTGTTTACCTAGACTTGTTGAAAAATATTAATCCACTTGACTGGACTATTCAATCTGTGTGCGCAGTAAGGGCAATCCTATCAATTACCTACTGTATATTATCAACTCAATGATATTGTAAGAAGAATGAACTACAGGGTGGTCAAAACAAAATCGGATGTATGCAATCAAATCGCAACAATGCTTTCATGAGGCCTACTATAGTTACATGAAAGCTATAGACTGTACTCAAGACCTATCTCCAGCTAACTACTGTATTTTTCTTTCATTTACGCAATTTTGAGTCAGTTTGTAAAATGTAGAAGGATTTTTAGATGTGTTCCTCATGAACCTGTAACTGTTGCCTGAATTATTTCAGATTATGTCAAATAGCAGAGCAGCCAGCTGCTATTGGGTCATCCTGAGGAAGCTTTTGATGTTTATTGGAATTTTGATTTCAGTTTTGTTGAACCACCCTGTATCCATAAGTAACCATAATAAGAAGAGATGTCTTGTTAGTCACTTCAACACAAATATATTATAATGAATAGTTTGTTACCTATACCTTGAAACAATCTTACATGAGTTCCATTATAATAGTGGTAGTGAAAATATCTTCATGACCAAGGGAGCAGGATAAAAGGTCATGTGAAAATGATTTTTTCCACCACCAAAACCTACCATTATTCACTCCTTTTCGAGGCGTTAAGTGTGTTTTTACTACCAAACCAAGGTAGTTTTCGACATTTTATGAACCACTAGTCCAAGGTGGATAGAATATGGTGTAATCACAGACAGTGTTTTGTTGCTCCCGAAATATAGTGGCATATTTTAGTTCTCAGTTTTCCGCAAGACGACGACACTTTTTACAGATTTCTTTCATGACAGAAAACGGTGCTTATACACACCTCTTGCACCAGAAATAAGAATAATATCATACCATTCATAACATAACCTCAAATCCAATGAGATTAAATTTGAAAGTACGAAACTTTTATCAATAAACAATGAATATGAAGACCTGATAACAGCTCACGGGTACTGAAATAGGTACCAGTTATCGACTTGGATGAAGTGGTGGAAAAAAACATTTCAACTTTGTAGAATGAAATTCATGTAAATGCCAATATTTGATAGGAATTCTCTCTTTTTATGGTTACAAGATGAACTGAATGTTTATATGTATTTTTATGTCAGACAACTTATTAAAAGAGACATATAGATGATTAGGTACCTATACTTATTTATATATTTGTGTCATTGATTCCATCAAATAATATCAAATCGAAGGTCCCACTACAATGATGAATAAAGATAAAATTTCCAATACAGCAGCAGCTGCTACAGTACAATTATTATCAACTGAAAAAGGTAGTTCAAAAGAGTTGAATTCCGTTTAAAACGATTTTTGAGATGAATATCGATATAAACAAGGTTCAGATTATTCCTAATTATTGTGTTATACAAATTAATGAATATCATAAAGCAACTTTCTTTGCTGATTGTGTGAGAAATACGCCTGGAAATTGTTTTTGAACTAATAATCTCTTCTACTTGTTTGATATAAAATATTTTCCGTACTTTTCCGTAAATTACTATGACGGAGATTATATTCTTTACCTGTCACATTTTGGTGATTTCAACCAATAAAAATGCGTGATTCAGCCAGCTGATGAAACTGCTTCTCTTCGATAAATCCTAGTTTACCTATCGACCTATCTTATAATGCGTAACAAAACAAAATGGAATCAATTATCTATTTCCTGAGAAAACACAACGTATAACCTTTTTAATCGTCATTCAACTCAATTACACAAATAATGTTTGATTTATTTCAAAGTATATACAGGGTGACATTCTGGAATCTTCCTATCCTCATTTCCATTTTCGAGGAAGACACTTTGCTATCAGCAATTGTTGTTTTTTGAACTGAATCAGTTATTATATGTGTTCTTTCGAAAGAATTCGATTAGTTAGAATGCATATTAACTGATTCAGTTCAGTCCAAGTGAAATATGTCAGTTCAGAAGGAAAGAATATCATTATTCGCGACAGAAAATGAGCCTACGCCACATCTGAGTTCTTAAAAGCTGTCAGAGCGGCATGTTTACTTTGTTTCCATACTGGTTCACATTTGTTTTTTGTTTGTGCTTATTGGTCACATCATCAAAACAAACCGCTCAGAGTTCAAGTTGTTACCGTTAGGTGAGTCGTAAGAACTTCATTGGGCAAACAAGTCGAATCACAGGCACAAGATTTAAAGAACATTTAATTCGCTACTTCAAAAACTGCCTAATTTTCAATATTTTTTCTCGCTTTCTAGGTTATAATGTACAATACTTGAACCTTCTAACCCATCTACGCATGAGACCCTCGATATGATATCGAAAACTTTGATGGAACAACAGTTAATTGAACTTTGTCAGAACAACTCATATCAATTCCTGAAATTCCTTTATTTATTTATCAATTTATGACCAAATGATCACACTCATTTTGGATTTGGTAATTGCATTCATTTTGCTGGTCATAAAATAACGTATATCTGACTGATAAGTTTATGTTATGTCTTGCGTGAGGAATGATATACAGAGTGTCCCCCTAGTTAACTTCCGAACGGTTGGGCATTATTTTTTTACTTCAAGTCGAAATACCCATGTAGGTATATTTCAAAATGGCATGTGGAGGCCATCTTGAATTTTTTTAACGTGCTCTCTTGTTATCTTCAACTTCTTGTTGGCATCTAGAAAAGTTATCTATCCACTGTCCTCGCACATTCGATATCCTTTATCAGATTGAACAGTTGAAAATACAATTTTCTTGTCTTCTGTATTATTTTTGTATCTTGCTTTGTTTTGCGAGAACGATACAAATTTGATTTGACTCCAAATTTCAATGTCAAGACATCCATTGAAATTACTCAATAACCACAATGAGAAAGTCTGAAATTTTGAGATTTTGTAAGTCAACAACCAGAATGGATTTTGTCATAATTAAAACTTATACAGGGAGAGAAGTTGAATAATTTTCAGAACCGAGAAATTTTCAGTTTCTCTATTTTACCGTCGATTTCGGATACACTCTGTATATCATTGTTCATCTGTATTCTGGAAAATTCATCCTAAACTGATATAAGTACTCTACATAATATAAGGGGATAATGAAAATCTCTCAATTATACTGTTATATTTTTGTATCTGAATGCAGTTATTGTTTATGGAGTAACAAATATATATAATACATGGCAGAATATGTGTTTTTTTTTCTGATCAATAGAGACCTTATGATTATTTTCAGCAAGTAGTACAAAACAGGAACTCAATTTGGGTACTCAGGGTTTATTTTGTTCTGGTTCCCACGAAAAGGGATATCATGTAATGTTCAGAGAACAACGTGAGAACCAAGGAAAATAAGGTAGGAATTGGTGTTCTTCTTAAATTTCTGGAGGTTATAAGCATCGGGGAACACATCCCTTGGCAATGCATTCCAGAGCCTCGCTGTTCGTTGGATGAACGAGTCTTTTGAAAGAGATGTTCTGCAGGTCTCCAAAGTGACCACGAAGCCTCAACTCGACGGGTTAATCTCGCGGGAACTGCCAAGGGAGGTACACTTGATGATATTTCAGAAGAGCATCGTCCATGAAAATATCTATAAAATAGAGCCAGATCGCCGACTTTTCTACGGTGTTCCAGAGAAGTGAGTGAGTTTGTGAGCGAGGCATCACCCACGAGACGAATTGCCCTTTTTTGGACAGAATCCAACAGTTTCAGAGTATGTTTGGGTGCTGCACTCCAAATATGGAAACAGTAATCCAGGACAGGTCGGATCTGTGCCTTATAGATCATAAGCAGCTGACTGGAAGTGAAATAGCTCCTGGCCCGAAACAGAAAACCAAGTTTTTGGGATGCACTTTCAGCAATTGATCTCACGTGATTTTCCCAAGAAAGGTTATTGCTGATAGTAGCAAGCAAGCATCAAAATGGATGTCTTCAATGGTATGGTTACTCCTGACATGCTTATGTTTGGCACAGTGAGATCGGCTTTCCTAGAGAAAAAACATGCTTGTGTTTTGTTTGCATTGAAATCTACCAAGTTATTGGATTCCCATTCGAGAATTGTCGCTAAGTCCATATTTATGTTGTCAACATTTCTCCCTTGTTCGTTTCTGATTTGCCTGGCTGGTATTGGAGCCCTGGAAGAGAAGCGACCGTACCTTCATGATTAACTTGAAAATATTTTCTTGAATTTGAAACATTGCTCTGCCCATATATAAACATTCTGTTTCATAACTTGCGACTTGTTTCATTGCGACGATGCAAAATGGTGTTATCAATTTATAGAATTCATAGGATTACTTCTTTGTTCAGTATCTTGAATGGACTGTGTTCTATAATGCAAAAGGAATAACAACTCAGCTGTTTAGTATATTTTATTAACGGATAGTTCGAGGAATGACAAAATATGTATACGCTGTCAAAAATACTGTTCTGGATAAAAACACATATCAATATCGCCACTATTAAACGGGAGTAGTCCTTCGCAGAGTATCAATCTCGTACAAATTTCTTTCGGAACCACTCGTAGGAATCAACTCCAAAGCTGCCGGAATCTCAAGATCGAACCTCAAAAACTCCTGCTCACGATCGTTCGGCGAATAATCCCCATCAAAGTACTCCACCGTGGTACTAACCGTATTAGCAGTCATATCTCTCGGCAAACTACCGTAAACTTTCAGATCATCGGTGCTAAAATGGTACGGAAAGCAGAAAGGTGCCACAGGAGGCTTCGGAGGAAACCCGTGGAAGGAAGAAACGTCCCTCAAGGAGTTAGTTTGATGGAGATTGTGGTGGACGCTGAAGCGATGGCCCCCAAAGTGGTTTTGTTGGAACACCTGGCACGATATGGGGTACCGCAACGCGCTCTTGATGTCCACGTAAGGACCGCTTGAATGGCCGTTTTCCTGGCGAAATGCGTCAATAGTTGGATCAACAGATGGATCAACAGGTGGTGCAACAGGTGGTGCAACAGGTGGTGCAACAGGTGGAGGTCTGCTAGTGCGCTTGAACGACTCGAAAGAGATTGTTGACCATTGTCATGGCGATACGCAGCAACAGGTGGATCAACAGGTGGACCTCTTGCTTGCAAACTCCTCTACTCGTACCAGCACGGTATATTCAAAGAAAGGAACACTTGTTATGAGGAATATTCATTACTTTCCATATACTGGAAACATTGATTCGAGTTTGAAGCATTCCCCCATAAATGACCGTACCTTCGTGGTAATCTTGAAAATATTGCCTTGAATTTAAAACATTGCTCTGTTCATATATGAACATTATGTTCTATAACTTGCATCTTGCATACATGAATTCCCAATGTAATATCAGGGAAGGCGAAGTCCACCTGTTGATGACCGATGTTGAAAGTCATTGCGACGATGCGAAATAGTATAGGCATTGGAGAACTTCTTTGTTCAGTATCTTGAATGGAGTGTGTTCTATAATGCAGAAGGAATAACAACTCAGCTGTTTAGTATATTTTATTAACGGATAGTTCGAGGAATGACAAAATATGTATACGCTGTCAAAAATACTGTTCTGGATAAAAACACATATCAATATCGCCACTATTAAACGGGAGTAGTCCTTCGCAAAGTATCAATATCGTACAAGTTCCTTTCGGAACCACTCGTAGGAATCATCTCCAAAGCCGCCGGAATCTCAAGATCGAACCTCAAAAACTCCTGCTCACGATCGTTCGGCGAATAATCCCCATCAAAGTACTCCACCGTGGTACTAACCGTATTAGCAGTCATATCTCTCGGCAAACTACCGTAAACTTTCAGATCATCGGTGCTGAAATGGTGCGGAAAGCGAAAAGGTACCACAGGAGGCTCAGGAGGAAACCCGTGGAAGAAAGAAACGTCCCTCAAGGAGTTAGTTTGATGGAGATTGTGGTGGACGCTGCAGCGATGGCCCCCAGAGTGGTTCTGCTGGAACACCTGGCGCGGTCTGGGGTACCGCAACGCGCTGTTGGTGTCCACGTAAGCCTCCGGGTGCCTCTTGCACGGGTAGAAACCCCCCGCTTGCCCGTTGCCTAGGCGATACGCGGCAACAGGTGGCGCAACAGGTAGCGCAACAGGTGGAGGTCCGATGGCGCGCTTGCGCCGTAGTTCGTAGCGCACGCGGTAGATGTAGAGGAAGACGCTGCAGACGCCGGTGAGCTTGACGCAGACGACGGCAGTGACGTAGACGCAGAAGGAGTAGCCGTAGGCGTAGGAGAAGGTGGGCGGTTGCAGGTGGGATTTGGGGCGCAGTTTGCTGCCCACTTCCGCTTTGAAGACGGCGATGTACATGATCAGGCCACAGAGCATCGCCAGACCTGGAAAGGAAGATGTCGGCATTGAAATTGAATTACTGAAAATGTACAAGCAACGAACATCGAGTTGAATTTAGTGAAAAAAGACGTGTGAGTTGTCTATCGAGTTATGGTACATTGTTTTCTTTGAACAAACACAATTGAGTGCTCAGTATCAATTAGAAAAATTCGAGAAATGCTTCCTGAAGCATCAAGAAAGTAAGTTAAGCTCACCAGTTTGTATAAAAATGACTCCTGACAACAACGTGAATCTTGATTTATGATCCATGCACTGTCCCAATATACAGAAAATATATCCAACTACGACAAATATGCTGCCGAGTAGGATGAACACAATAGACTTAGTCACTGTATCTGAAACAAAAAAAAATCTACAAGAATAATATTTTCCAAGCATCAAATGAGAAGAAATGTGTTATACTTTATTTCACAATCAATTCGTCTCTATATCTCTGTGTCGGTGACTGTGTCCACGTGTCTCTCTGTATCTCTCTGGCTCTCTCTTTCTCTCTCTCTCTCTGTTTCTGTTATTTGCCTGTGTCTTTGTATCTGTGTGCCTCTGTGTTTCTGTATTTCTGTGTTTCTGTGTTTCTGTGTTTCAATGTTTCTGTATTTCTCTCTCTCTCTCTCTCTCTCTCTCCTCTCTCTCTCTCTCTCTCTCTCTCTCTCTCTCTCTCTCTCTCTCTCTCTCTCTCTCTCTCTCTCTCTCTCTCTCTCTCTCTGTGTCTCTGTGTCTCTGTCTCTGTTTCTCCGTCTCTGTGTCTCTGTGTCTTCCTCGTGTCTCTGCATGTGTTTTTTTTTATTTAATCGCTTGGAGCGCACGAAAGGGAATCCCTATAATGTTCAAAGAATATCGTGCGTTCCTGGGGAGAATAGGGACAGGAGGTAGGTATTGGAATTTTTTTTGAACTCTTGGAGGCAATGAATTCCAGAGCCTAGCCGTTCTATGGATGAAAGAGTCTTGATAAAGTGCTGTTCGACATCTTTCGAGGTTGACAACGAAAGGATGTGCTGACTGGGCTTGTCTAGTTCGTCTGATTGGTATTGCTAGTGGAGGGATGATAGCAGAGATTTCCGAAGAACATTTCCCGTGGAAGTATCGATAGAAAAGTGAAAGGTCGCCGACCTTTATTCTACGGTGTTCCAATGATGTCAAAGAGTGAGTGAGTGTGGCGTCACCCACCAGGCGAATGGCTCTTCTCTGGATGGAATCTAAGAGCATCAGCGTATGTTTTGGTGCTGAACCCCATATGTGGGAACAGTATTCTGTGTGTGTCTTTATCTTAATGTCCCTGTATCTGTATCAGTGTGTCTTCCTCTCTGTGTCAATGTCACTATGTCTCTGTATATTTTCGTCTCTATGTATCTAGCTGTATTTGTGTCTCTCCCAACAAAATATGCACTGCCAATGGAGTTACTGCAATACTTACATTGACCATCAACTTATCGTAAATGAATGTATGTTGGGCTGTCTCTATGTCTCTGTGAGTCTGTGCCTTCGTGTCTTTCTGTCTTGTTGTCTCAGTTTCGCTGATGTAGCTCTGTGTCATCTCTGTGTCACTGTGTTTCTCTATCTATGTGTACCTGTCTCTGAATCCCTGTGTGTCTGTGTCTCTATCTCTATGTCTCTGTCTCTGTGTATTCATCGTGTCTCTGCGTCTGTGTCTTCATCTCTATGTCCCTGTATCTGTCCACTACATAGTTTTACTACTAACGCAACCATATCATGTATCTGTGTGTCTCCATAAGTGTCTTCTTCTCTGTGTCCATGTCTCTATGTCTCTGCCTGTATACATCTGTCTCTATGTATCTGTATCTGTGTCTCTCCCAACAGAATATGCACTGCCAATGGAGTTATTTACGGAAGCGCTGGAAAGAGAGTATGCCTTCTTTTACTTGCTCAATAAGCTGGATCATGTTGCTCAAAAAGCAAGAGCATCTTGCTTAGGAAGCACGATCATCATCATGCCTGATAAGGAAGGTAATTTTGCTTAAGAAGCGAGATAATCTTGCTGAAGAAACAAGATGATCTTGCCTAATAAGCAAGATGATATTGTTTAAGAAACAAGATGATCTTGCTCAATGAGCAAGATGATCTAGCCCAATGGGTTGCATGCAAGAACTGTCAGATGACCGACCCTGGAGATGAAACATTGAAACACAACCTCACTTTTCTTATTTGTTTATGAATTATTGACATAGTTTTTCACAATAATTTTGGCATATGAATCGTGTTTTTCGGCTATTCATTAATTCGCGTATGCCATCACATTATGCTGTTGTACAATGCACAAAAAATGCAGCGAGAGACAAAGGAATCCGGTTGGTACATTATGATTTAAAAGTAGGTAAGTACCTACTATCTAGTCACTCACATATAGTTTTCATTTTGAAATTTGGTAATTTCTCTGATCTCTCATCGGAATTCCTTCTGCAATAGGAGCTAATAAAAATACTCGTGAAATTTCTAAAAGAATGCAAGAAGATTGGATTGATGCAATCATACGGGAGGACTGGTCTGACGAACTGACGAAATTTGATTGTGTGTGTTGTATAGACATTCTCAATCTATCAAAAGTTTAGCTTATATTGCAGAAGTGGTAGAAGGAATTTCAATAAGCAATGACAAAATTCCATAATGAAAACTGTGAGATTACTATTTTCCTGAAGAATCATATTCCTTCGTCTCTCGCTGCATTTTTTGTGCATTGTACAACAGCACAATGAGAAGGCATGCTTGGATCAATGAATAGCGCAAAAAACACGATTCGTATGCCAATTTTTTTTCGTGAAATTTGTATATTGCTATACTTCAAAGTTGGGAACCAACTCCCCAGAAGTCGCAACTTGTGCGGGGTTCGGAAGAGCGGGACCTACAGCTTATAGTGTAGTGATTCCTCTGTAAACAAATGAAAAGAGTGAGGTTGTGTTTCAATTTTTTACAGAAAAGTGAGATTGTGTTTCCATGTTTCACCTTCAGGGTCGGTCATCGTGCACGCGACCTATAAGCAAGACGATCTTGCTTAGTAAGCGAGAAGATCTTGCCTAATGAGCCAGATGATCTAGCCTAATAAGCAAGATACATAAAATGTATGTTGGGCTGTCTGTATGTCTCTGTGACTATTTGTCTTTGTGTCTCTGTGTCTCAGTATCGCTGTGGCTCTGTGTCACTGTGCATCTATGTCTCTGTATCACTGTTACCTACTCAATGTCTCTGTATCAATGTGTTCCTTGGGGTGTCCCTGTATCTTTGTGTCTCTGGGTCTGTGTCTTTTTGTGTCTTTGTGACTTTGTGTCACTGTGACTTTGTGTCACTGTGACTCTGTGTCTCTATCTCTGTGTCTGTCTCTTTCTTCGTCTATTTAAAGCATTTTTAGAGACTTATAGGTACTCACATGGTATTGCTTGGGACGAATCATTAGGGTCAGGATTGTAGACTTCCTCGGAGAAATATTCTATCATGTTGCACTGAAACAGCGTCTCTCCGGCTGGAAAAGAAAATAAATATATGTGAAGATACAAATATTAACTGCCGAAAATCGGAATGTTAATATGCAATATTTGCTACAAATTCGAACTTTTGAACTCGCAAATGAAAGCCGAGATCGATTGCATCTATTCTGCAGTACATGATTATGTGATTCCAGATAACACCTATTTTAAATCTGTTTTCAGATTGCAGCACTCAATCTCACCAATTTTTTAATTGTAATTTATTATGATGACCAAAAAATTGTATACAGACCTAACTAATTACTTTATGAATTGTTCAAAATGGTCTCCATTGTGTTGAAGGCACAATTACAGCCTATATTCCAGAGACATTCCATCAATGTCTGCTTACAGTTTGAATATCGGCTTTACTTTTGCTCACAGAACATTGGACACCATTTTGAATAATTCATAAAGTAGTTAGTTATGTCTGTACAGGGTGGACCAAATTGGTCACTTTTAAAGAGAAAGTCCTATTCTCCAACTAGATAGAAGAAAACTGTTGTAATTGTTGTAACTACGTTTGGTAATTAATAAAGCACTGATAATACTTTCATACTTTTATTTCACATACCGATTATACATTGGAAAGCTCTACTTATCTAGTTGCTCATAGCACGTACCAATCAAGAAGGAAGCTGTCATAATAATAATAATAATAATAATAATAATACTTTTATTACCCCATCAGAATTATGTTACATAGCAATACATACAAATACAATAATTATAAAGGTAACAGGTTTTCGGTTCAGCTTTCAGCAACAGCCAAATCTGTTCTTCCACCGACACCTTTATTCAATAATTCAAATTACCTATTTGATGGCAAGAATTATATAAATAATATATACATATATATGCAATTTACAAAACAAAAAACAAGAGACACACAGAGAGAGAGAGAGACAGAGAGAGAGAGAGAGAGAGAGAGAGAGAGAGAGAGAGAGAGAGAGAGAGAGAAAGATAGAGAGGGTCACTGAACGCTCAGTAAGTGTTTCTTAAACATAATTTTGAATTTTTCACATGTAATTTCTAGAAACGAGTTATTCATTTTAAAGAATTTGAAGATATCATTGATACAGACCGCTGAAGCATATGTAAAGCTGCATTTGAACAGTGCCTTTGAATGTTTGGGTATACTTATAAGAGTTTGTCGTCGAATATTCAAGTTATGTACATCTGTTCTGAATGAAAGTTTCTCATGAAGATAAGGAGGAGTTTTTGTTTTCAGTAAATTGAAGCATAGACAGGCCAAGTGCAGCTGTCTTCGGTTATACATGTTCAACCACTTTAGTTCAGTCAATTTATGTGAAGTGTGTTGACCTTTTCTAATTCCATAAATAAGGCGAATACATGAATTCTGCACTTTTTGAATGCGACGAGACTCAATACTACCTAGACAGGGACCATAAACTGCATCACAATGATTAAAATGGGAAAGAACTAGACTATCACAAAGCATTTTTTTAACATCAGTAGTTAAAAATTGACGTTGTGGATATATTAGTTTTAGGGAGGCATACGCAGCTTTAAGTTTATTATTGATATGTGAAGTGAAACTTAGTCTAGTATCTAAAGTTAATCCAAGATTTTTACACTGAGTTTTGAAAGGTATTAGTGTGTCGCCGATTTTGAGTGAAATATTCTCATTACAATGCTGCTTTTGAGTTTCTTTACAAAAAATCAGTGCAGAACATTTATTTGGATTAAGTACGAGAGCATGGTCAAGTGATAACGTATGAAGTGCAGATAGATCATTATTAATAGAAGTTTCAGCATCTTTTATTTCTGAGATGTCAAAATAATAATACAATTGCGTATCGTCCGCATAAAAATGATAATTGCAGTTATGTAAACAGTTGATAAAGTTAGAGGTATATAACGTAAATAATAATGGACCTAAAATACTTCCTTGAGGAACTCCAGACAGTACCTCCAAAGTTGAGGATTTTTCATCACCAATTTGTACAAACTGTACCCTATCTTTGAGATATGAGCCTAATAAAGAGCAAGCTGATACACTGAAACCGAAATAATTTAGCATTGAAATGAGTATATTGTGATTTATTAGATCAAAAGCTTTGGAATAATCCAGTAAAATCAATATGAATACTTTGTTTTTATCCAGTGAATGGATGATTTCGTCAGTTACGTCAGCAAGAGCACTATTGCAGCTATAACCTCTTCTGAACCCAGATTGTTTCAAGGGAAGAATATTTTGGGTTTCGATGTATTCCTTCATTTGAGATTCCATTATCCTTTCAATTATTTTAGAGAAAGTGGGTAAAACACTTATAGAACGCAAGTCATTGAAACATGTTGGTAGTTGAATTTTAGGTAGAGGTATTACCTTAGCAATCTTCCATGTGATGGGAAAGTAATTATTTTCAAGGCATTGGTTAATTATGTGTGTGATGAAAGGAATTATAAAAGGGCAGCATAAATCAATAATTGTAATATTAATATCATCAACACCAACGGCCTTAGATTTAATGTTTTTAATAACCTTATAAATAGTTTCCTCAGAAACAGGCTGGAAGCTAAATGTTGAATTAATACCTTGCTTCAAGTTATTACTATAATAGTGGATTAGTTGTTCATCAATAGGTCTAATACTTTTTGATGATGAGATAAAGAATGCATTGATGTCTTCAGCATTTCGTAAAGATTCCGGTATCTCGTTATTTTTAGTCTTTGATACATTGAGTTTTTTCAGTTCTTTCCACTGTTCTTTATATTCAGAATTACGAAATTTAAAATTCAAAAAAGCTTTTTTTTCTGCGTTTATGGCATTGGTAGTAAAATTTCTAAGTTGTTTATAATAAGACCAATGTTCTGGAACATGAGTGTTCTTAAATCTTCTCAGTGCCTTATCTCTCAATTTCTGCATGAGTCTTATATTCTCTGTAATCCATGGTGAATACTTTTTCATATTTACAAAACAAGATTTTTTGGGTGCATGAATATTCAATAAATTAATAATATTGTCTGTAAGAAGTTGAATTTTTGATTCAATGTCAGTTGCTGTTAATATGACGTGCCAAGGCATTGAAATAAGATCAAGTTGGAATTTATCAATGTCAATCTTATCGATAGAACGATATGTAATTTGTTTCTTGAAATTCGAGCTGGCAATGTTCAGTTTAACTTGACATGCAATAAGGCAATGATCAGCTATCAAGTTATCATCAACTCTTGGAATACAGTCAGAAATATCAAAGTTAGTGATGATAAGGTCTAAAATAGTGGTATATCTTGTAGGCTCATTTATCAACTGGATAAAATTGAACGATTCCAGAATAGAGTTGAATTGCTGAGTATTTTTGCAATCAACATCAAACATATTGATATTAAAATCTCCAACACATATTATGTTATTAAAAGATGAGAAAATATTAGAGAATGTATCTTCTATCTCATTGAAAAAATTACTCAAATTAGATTTAGGAGGCCTATATACAGTACCGATAATTATTGTAATGTCTTTTGAAATTATTAATTTTAACCATATGTGCTCAATGTAATCTTTTTGTTCATAAAGAATTATCTCAAATTTATATTTGTTTTTAACATACATACCAACACCACCACCATGAGTTGGTCTATCATTACGAATAAAAGTATACTGATTGAGATGTACAGTTTCACTACTAATTTCTGCATGCAACCAAGTTTCCGTGACTCCCACTACATCATAGTCTGCATCAATGATACGACTCTGAAAATCATTAAAATGTGGAATAAGAGATCTCACATTCACATGTGAGACGTTCAGAGACATCTAGAAAAGAAGAGAAGAAAATGAAAGAAATGTATAAGTAGAAAAAGAGAGAGAAAAAAAAAAAGAATAAATGTAAATGTATACAATGTTTGAATCACCCTGTGAAGGTACAATAATTTCCAATGAAACAAACTCTGCTCCCACTGATACATTTTAGTTATAAAAAAGTGAAACAAATGTGGTTGGCTAAAAAAAAAGGATGCATAAGAAAAAAAAAGGATGCATAAGTAAGTAAGTAATTGCACTCACATTATATCCTGACTTATGACATATGTATGACAGACTTGACATATTGACATGCATGATATATCAGTGGCGTACATTATGAAACTCATAACCGTAACATTGGGTAAGTATATATCAAAAACTGATGTGGGTGCCTGAGGGTCGATTCCCATGCAAAACTCAATGATGAAAACCTTATATCGATATCTGTCTCCGTTACAGAGTTACAGGGTGTTATTTGTTTTACTAGGCAGAAAAGTAGTAGATTGACTGCCGCGGCTGATGGTTCATAGACGAGCGTAACGAGGCTAGGAATTCAGTCAAGGCAGTCAATCTACATTTGCTGCCGTGTGAAACATAGAATTTTTTCTACAGATGATATAACACCAATTTTGTGTAATTTTTTTATTGGAAACTTCATCATTTTGTGTTCACCCAATGTCAGTGTCAATTTTGATTACTCATTTCATTAGAATGTCTTGGAACGTTGAATAGCAACAAACTTTTTTCTGCAACCGACACAAAAGTCGTCCATTTTGATACCAAAATTAGCTCTATAAATTGACGTTTCTATTCAGTACCTAGGAGCTAAAGTTGAATTTTAGTTCCCAGGAGCTGAAGTTGAACTTTAGCTCCTAGGAACTAAAAAGGATCTACTAGACGTCATCAAGAATAAACAACATTGTGACGGTTGGTTATTTGGGTTGAGACGCATACCTGATTTGTTTCCGATTTCAGCAGATTTGGCATTTCATACCCATGCTGGAGATATAAATACACCTTATTATAGTTTAGTATTGGGATTATAAACATCTCAGTTAAGTATTTTTGTTTTGATCAGGGAAGCCTTCAAGATTCAAATAGTTTCTTGATCTGTATTTCATTCGTCATTCTCGGGATGGATAACTTGTTTTTGAATAATCACGGCAAGCAATAGTTTTTTTGTCTCAAACAACGATATTGTTTAGCTTCATTTGATTATCAAGTCAAACACAGTGTAGTATGAAGAGGAATAAATAATCACTATTATCATTGTTGATATG